GGATGGCAGGAGTCTGGACGGCATGTCTCCACAGCAATACACTCGACGTCGGGCACAGGATTCGGGCGAAGTCCAGGCGGACACTGGCAAATCGCTTTGTGGTCGTCCGCGATGCAGACCGCGTTCACGCCGCAAGCATTCTCGTCGCAGGCGTCGTAACAAGTGTGCGTCAATCGATTGCAAAGCTGCGACGGTGGGCAGTCGTTGTTGTAGACGCAAGGAACCGTGCGGCAGCCGGATGTTGAGTCGTTTGGATCGCCGGCGTACAGGCCGGACGGGCATTCACAGTTTGCTACGTGATTATTCACGACACAGAGCGCATTTGGTCCGCAAGAAACGTAGTCGCAGACCAGTTGGCAGGCAAGCGGACCCTCCGGAGTACTGCGACATGTTTGATCCTCCGCGCATTCGCTGTCCGTGGAGCAACGGTTCTCGCGCGGGCTGTGGCAGCCCCGGCGATCGTTTGGATTTCCCGCATAACCTGGCAAGCACTCGCAACGGCCTTGATGATTCTCTGCTATACAACGAGAATTCGTGGTGCAAGTGAAACCACTGCACAGCGAGAAGCACTTCAGAACACCAAGCGCGTCCGGTCTGCAGCCCTCGCTCGAATGGCAATCGTTGTCATTTATGCAGTCGGGCACCGATGGCTTCTCACAAGACGACAGCACCGGGTTCCATTCGTAGCCGTCTTGACACTTGCAGGTGGCGTGGCCGGGTATAAGATCAGGCTCGCATTTCTGATAAGCGCCGCATACAACTTTGCTGCAGGGATTCACGCAATCATGTACGCCACCCTCCACAGCGATGCAGAAAGAACCTGGCTGACAGTCCGAATTATGTGCGCATCCGGGTATCACGGTCTTGGTAGGCTGGCAACCTTCCACCAGATTGCTCGGATTACCGTGATAGCCATCGATGCACAGGCAGGAGGACACATGGTTCTGAGTGATGCATAGTGCATTAGGTCCGCACTGCAGTTTACTACACGCGTCAACGCATTTCCGAACGCCTTTGCCAATTTGGAAACAAATCTCCTGGGGTGCGCACTCGAGATCGTTCAAGCAGTGACTCTGTAAGCGGCAACCTTTGTGCAGATCGTTGGGATTGCCGCTGTAACCTGGCGGACAAACGCACGCCCCGTTCTGACAGACGGATCTGGGACCGCATTTTACATCACTGCACTGATTTATGCACTTATGATTGGCACAGATGTAATCGAAGGGGCATGGTACAGTGTCACTGCAAACACAAGTCGAAGGATCAGCACATGGTCCAACCTGCACTTGCTGACATCCGACGAAAGGATTGCCGAAGAAACTGTCCTTGCAACGACAGTCGTAGCTTCCGATGGTATTGATGCACACTGCGTTGTTGCCACATGCGTGTCCGTTACACTCGTTGACATCTAATAAAAAAAGATATGAAGATATTTATATTTTTACATAATTGATACTTATTTCTTAACTGTGGAATCAATATAACTTTCATCTGATGCTTATTGAGCTTATCTATTTCAGCAATAGCTCCTAACTTCCCAAAATTGTTTGGCTTCGTGTTCATTTAAATCCAAATTTTCTTATCAAATAAAATTGAATTACGAAGTGAATAACGTCAGCAGTTTAAAGTTAATAAAATTATATAAATGTCACAAGAAAATGATAATTTTATGCGGAGTTACGTATTCTTTGAATATTTTATCATATTTCTCATTATTATTATAATTATTATTTCTGTCATATCAATTAAACATAAAAAATGAATGTAATAATAGGATAAAAATTTTATTAAAATTAACCATACTAACCGAAACATTGAATATATGGATTGCCAGCAAAGCCAGGTGGACAGAGACACTCAATGGCATTAGAACCTGCATTGCAGTGCGCATCCTTTCCGCACACCGCAGTAGAACAATCAGATTTTTCTTGAACGCCACAGCCGTGATAAGGATTTCCACTGGTACCCGGATTACAAACACATTTTGATTCTAGCAAACCGTATTCGCAATGCGCGTTCTTCCCGCAAGATGGATTGCAGTGAGGTGGCTGAATGGCTGTAGAGAAAGATTACATTATTTAATAAGAAATAACAACGTTCATATTATCTTATATTTTATTAAATTTTAATATATTTTGTTGTATTATTTTTAAAACTGCATTAATATTTTGTGTATGTGTGTGTGTGTGTTCTTTCTCTCAGCATCATTATACTTACGTGGCATACAAAGTAGATCTGGGTTGCCGACGAAATAGGGATTGCACACGCATTTATTTGTTAAAGGATCGCACATGGCCCCGATGCCGCAAACCACTCCCTCGCAGCGTCGCTTACAACGCCCGCTAATGCATACACTTGGCTCGGCGCACGGAATCTCAGGTGAGCATACATCCGGAACGCATTGTCCACCGGGGAAAGGATTGCCCATAAAACCTTCGATGCATTTACAAGTCGGTCCATCGTAACTGACGATACACTGAGCCCCGGAACCGCAAACAAAGCCGTCACATTCTGCATCATAATAGTTTCATAAGCAACGCATAAAATCAGCGGAAATCTAATTATGCTGAATAAATTATATTTAAAACAATTATATGTAAAATTTAAAATGTTATAAATTACTATCAAATTATTTTAAAGATCGATTTAAATTACTCATTTTTATAATTTTTAATTTTAATTTTATTTTTATATATAATTATGTAACGTAATAACAATTTCTTTTTGACAATTAAACGTGCAATTATTCAGACTTATAATTAAAGAAAGAGTATATATAAATTTTGCACTTACGTGAAACACATTCGTTGTTCTTGCCTTCCGTGAAACCTATCACACATCTACACCATGCGGCGTGCTTATCTGGTTCGCAGTATGCGTTTGGACCGCAAGGAACATTGTCGCAAGGATTGATGCAACTTCCTTGGACGCAAGCTAGATAATTCTCGCAGTCGTCGTTCGACGAGCATTCGCTTTTACCTGTCGGAACTCCTGTGCAGCCAACGCCGTAAGGATCACCGATCATACCTCTGGGACACTCGCAAACTGATCTCCTTTCGTGTTGATGCAATAAGCACCGTGACCGCAAGGATTATTCGCGCATTCATTCACATCGATACAACCGTGTTGCGGATCGCCTTCGAAGCCAGCCTCACACATACATCGCGGTGGATCACTCGGTGTGCATTTCGCGTTTATACCGCACGGGAAACGATCGCAAGGATCTGCAATATATCGTAATTAGATGTAGAAAATATTAAATGTATGACGCGGATATATAATATAAAAGTATAATAATAGTAAAATTCAACTTACTCTTGCAAAGATTTCCACTCAAAGGATCCGTGTAGAACGGCGGTGGACACACACATTCGCCAGGTTGCACGCATTTCTCGTTAGCCTTGCACTCATGGTCATTAGTGCATCTTTTCTGCGCTGGAGAACAAAGGCCATTATACGGATCGCCGCCGTATCCGTGCGGGCACACACATTGATGGGAACCTGGTAGATTGATACACTCCGCACCATAGCCGCAGACTTGATGTCCCACAATACATTCGTTGATATCTACATAAAATTAATTATTGCCGATTAATGATATACAAGTATAAAATTCTATACATTTTTAGCGATTAAAAATAATTACAATTTCAAAATAATTGATCATATACCTTCGCAAGATCCATCGGATTTAGTCGTGTAACCTTTCGGACAGGCGCAATAGCTGACTCCACCGGCGATCGTTATGCACTCGGCACCACTTGGACATTTTTCGCCCTTTGAACATCCCGCCAGCATGCATTTGCCGTTGACGATCTTGTACGGCGGTTGACATTGGCATTCGATGCTGTTGCATTCTGCAAATTTTGAATTTTTTAGATTTTATGATGTTAGTGATAATTATATAATTATTACAATACTAATAATGTTGCAAAAAATTACCTTCGCAAAGCGAGAAGGGGTTTCCATTGAAGCCCGGTGGACACTGGCACTCGTAGCTGCCGGGAAGATTTTTGCAAATTGCGTTGACACCGCAGGCGGGCTTTTCTCTGAGCTCCATGCATTCGTTGATATCTCTGCATTTACCGGTCTCATGATCGCGCATGTAACCACGTTGACATATGCAGACACTACTGCCGACGAATTCGTCTTTGATGCACTGTTCTCCGGCGGGGCAGGGCGAACTGGGACCACATACGTGGGGTGTTTTGGATTCCAGGCAACCACCGCTGTAAGGATCGCCCGCCATGCCACTCGGACACTGACACGAAAACGAACCAGGCTCATTGTTGCAGATTGCACCCGAAGGACACGGATTTACCGCGCACTCATCAATATCTCGACAGCCATCTTTAACTCCCGGCTTTCCGGTGTACCCGTTGCTACAGAGGCAGGTCGCCACATCGTTCAAGAGCATGCAATGTGCGTTAGGTCCGCAAGATAGATCTTCGCATGGATCTAATAACGGATGCAAAATTATGGATTAATGATTTTTACACAATATGATAGAGTAGGAAATAAAATCTTCCGTACTTGTCGTTTTCGCGCCCTTGCGGCACCCACAGAGATGTCGCGCGCATGCGCACGCCTATAGCGCTTTTTTTATCAAAGCGCCTTATAAGCTAACTAATTTAATTTCCGCGCGTAAAAATCGGAATTTAAAAAATTTTTTTATCTTTGAAATCAATATATTATACATACGTCTGCAATCATTTCCAACGTTGGGCTCGGGACATAGACATCTTTTTTGCGGATCACAAATAGCGTTTCCTGGACAATCATCGTCAACTTCACACCTGACTATACCAACGCATTTAATGTAAGGATCAGGATCCGGTATGGTTTCTTCCGGACAAGTGCAGGTATAAGAACCTTCACTATTAGTACACGTTGCTCCATGACCGCAAACATCGTGTTTAGAACATTCATCGATATCTAAAAAATTATTAAATATAAACAATAATTAAAATGTTGGTAATTCATAAATTAATACATTGAGAACTACATTAAAAATTATATAAAATCCTCACATAATGAGTTTATAGAAAATTAATATATATAAAATTAATTATCATCATTAATTAGTAATTTATGTTGTGCAATCTTTACCTATACATTGCTTGAACGCATTTCCTGAATATCCAGGTTTGCAGTGACAACTAAAACCACCAAGTGTATTCGTGCAGATAGCATTCCTGCCGCATCTTCCAGAAGGTCCATTTATCGCATCGCATTCATTGATATCTAAATAAAGAAAATAAAATTTAAATTTATTTGCAAAACAAAAGCTTTTGTGCACGCAATCGTCGTATATCTTGAGTCTTTAAGAAAAGATCCGCTTACCAACACATCCGGCCGCTATATCATTTGGATTGAAGGTCCATCCATCCTCGCAGATACAATAAGCTTCGTGACCGTCAGCCTTACAGAATGCATGTTCACCGCAAGTCACCTCATCACATGGTGCTTTGAAACAATGAAATTTATGTGTAACATATTCTTTTATGTTTTTTAAATTGTAATACTTTCCTCGCTAAAATGCAAATGTCATTGTAAAAGTAATTATTACCTTTGCACGGTATGTGAGGCGGAGTTCCAACGAATCCAGACTCGCATTCGCAATGATAGTTTCCTCTCGTATTCGTACAGATCGATGCAGGCCCGCAAGGATTACTGAGACACTCGTCCAGATCGGCGCATTCAGCGCCGACAGCTTTGAAGCCATCCTTGCAGAAGCATTGTCCTTCGATGCACTCGGCATTATTGACGCAATCGAAATTTGACTTGCAAAGAGTCGTCACGTCGGTCTGAGAAGAATACGGGGGTGATACTTTATTTCCCGCATTCATAATATTCGTCGCTTCACGAAACATCAAGACATTATACTTGGAAATAAAAACCGGTTCCTTCTGTTGGGCTACATAGTTATTTTCTAGACGCGCGAATAAGAGACATGCGTGATAAATCGAGTTGTGAGTCAGTTTCGTGGCTTTACAAAACAATGAAAAGAGTGTAACTTTAGAAAAGAGGTAAAACGGTACAAAACCGGTTCGGAATTCGTCTTGTTTGCGCACAATGCCATCTCCGCTTCGTTTGCTTTCTTTCATCCATCAGCTTCGTAAGAAGGAACCGGTATCAAAGATGTTCAGTATGCAAGTCTATTTTCGAGATGCTTGTCACGTATTAGCTTTCGCGTTGTAAATCGTATCCATATATGTATGTATGCGATGACTTAAGACAAAACGCAACGGGTTATTGAAGTATTACCTGATCGCATGCGACTGCCGGACTGGGGCTGGCACTATACCCCGTCGGGCAGATACAATTGTAACCAGGCTTCTCGTTCTTGCAAATCGCATTTCTTCCACAAGGATTGTCCAGAGCCGTACATTCGTCGATGTCTTTAAAAAAAAGTAGAGCATCGTGATAACAGAAAAATCTTGTAATCACAAAAAACGATGTTGTCTTAAAAATATTATGGGCTAATAAAATTTGACGCTCTAATATGATGAAAAGTGCAAGTAAATAAATTTTTAAAAACAAATAAATTTTTAATTTATGAAATTGTGTATCTATAGAGAAAAAATTGCAACAACTATAAACATATCGATAGTAATAGTCTTCTGGCGCCGGATGTTCTCAGAACTACAGGAAATTAAGCCCATATGATTAAAGGATATCCGCGAAGAAGAGGTGTATCGAAGAAAGGAAATATCGTAGAAAGGAAATATCGGTAGGCTAACCGCTGCACTCCTTGAAAGGGTCGCCGGTGTAATCCGCTTTGCAACTGCAGATGAAGCTGCCGATCGTGTCCGTGCACTCGGCGTTCTCGCCGCAGGGATTGCGCTCGCATTCGTTCACGTCTGTTAATCAACATGGTTAATCGCAAGATGAGTATTATTAAACGTTAGCCGTGAGTATTATTAAACGAAAAGATGGCATGCAATGATAGAGAGCATTATGTGAGCTTGGCTGTGACTGACTTTCGCAGAGTGTTAATCCTTGGCCGACGAAACCCGGCGGGCAAATGCACTTGTACGAGCCCGGGACGTTGATGCATCTCGCATTGACGGCACAAGCGCTCGTGCTACTGCATTCGTTTACGTCGACACAGCCATGTGTAGGGTCCATTTGATAACCGGCATTGCATCTACATTCGAAGCTACCCTCGGTGTTCACACATTTCGAGTCCACTCCGCAGGGCGAACCTTCCTCGCACTCGTTTACATCTGTTAGTGATGGTTAGTTAATTGATTAGCGGATGATATCCGGTGTTTGGAGAAACATTTTATCGAACCAGAACACAAACGCGTACATGAAAATTAGTAAGTTTAAGCAAACCAGTACAAATATATTATTACATAAAATTACTAGCATCAAGAAAATATATTTTTACTATTTTAGTAATAAACTTTTATCAAAACAAATTTTCTGTTAATTTTTTTGTTAAGATATCGATTATGATTATTATCAGTCATGAACAATGCTACATTATTAAAGCATGATAATTAATAATAAAAACTTCAAGCTTTAAAATTCTTTTTTAATTTTTTGTCGCAATGACTTTTCGCCAAAGTTTTAGTACTATAGTTTGCTCAATTTTGAGCGTCTAAAAAATCTTCCCTACTTTTGTAGAATAGTGTATATACATATAACATTTACCTAACATTTATATTTAAATATTTAAAATACTTTCACGCTGCGCAAAAATTTTGTTTTATACTTACCATTCATAATTAAATTAATATAATCTCAATTGTTAATTTCGATTCGTTACAAGAATAATAATAATAAATATACATAAAATTATTTATAAAAATTCTTAAAACTTACCATGACAACCTGACAATGGATCACCATTCATTCCATCGGGACAAGAACATCTGAAGCTACCATATACATTCGTACAAAGAGCAGAACGTCCGCAAGGACTCCTCAGACATTCATTAACATCTCTGCATTCCTCTTCCGGACTGCCGTCGTATCCTTCAGGACATTCGCATTTATGTGCGCCTGGTAAGTTCACGCATAGTGCATTCCGTCCACAGGCACCCTCGTATTCGCATTCGTTAACGTCGATGCACTGCTTAAACAAATTTATGATTACATTCTAAATCGAACATCTTTTGATAAATTTATTAATATTAATTAATAAATGTCTTTTTTATATTCCATAAAATTTTGGAAAATTTGAAATAAAATACGAAGCATTATAATCGCTTTGCGATAAAATGTAAATAAAATGTTTGAAATTTTTTAAAAAACTATTGCGCTGTATGCTTGAAGCTATTTATATGTATATATTTATGCATCATTAGTTATTTTCATTAGTAGTTTAGTTTATCCATATATTTTTAATCAGTCTTCCTCCGAACATACTTTATAATCAGCTTACATCCGCAAGAGTCCATCGTAACGGAGGGTGATTATTAAGATTAATATCTTCATTATAAATACAAAAAAAAATTCCATGATAAGGTGATTGACTTGCAGGCGTGTTATTATCCACTTTAAGCTCTACTTATCGTTTTCTCTACTTTATATTCCTGTTTCCATATACTCACACTAGTGTACGGGTCTCCCGTAAATCCATTTTGACACGTGCAGGTATAATTGCCAGGTATGTTGTGACATACGGTATTGTCGCCGCATGCGCCTGGTATCACGCACTCGTTCACATCTTCGCAGTGTACCTCACCGTCGCCGATGTAACCGGATTTGCACTTGCATAGATAATTCGAAGGAAGATTGCAACATTCGGCATTTTCGACGCAACGCCCAGCGAGCGCTGGATTATCGCATTCATTGATATCTGCACAGATGCGGTTTAACAAATGATAAAGCGAGTGCGCGGCAAAATGACAGTTATTTAATGCACGATAAAATTACCCTCGCAATGGAAGCCATCGCCTCGATAGCCAGGAAAACAGGAACATTGAAAGCTGCCAAGAGTATTTGTACAGTGGGCAAATATATCACAGGGCCGATATTTACATTCATTCTCGTCTGCAATTTTTAATATAATTATGTCATCGTAAATGTCATTTAATTTTATAAATTAAAAAGTAGAAAAATAAGTACACATTATATATGTGTATACTTGCGTCAATTAATCCAAACGTTTGCGTAGAACAGAATATGCATACGCGTTAAATACTTACTAACAAGATTATAGTTATTAGAAAAAAAAAAATAATAATAGCACAAACCTGGGACTTGACAGTTACATCCTCCAAATCCATCGTTACAGTGACAGACCGAATCCAGACAGACACCGTTTTGACACTTGGTGCCGTCCTCTTTTGTACAATCGTCTGCAAGCAATGATTTTAATAAACTCATTGTTAATCTAGCAATTTATACTGCTAGATTGTTATTGTGTGAGATAAATTTATAAGTACGCACTTTTATAATTTTATAATTAATTTTTGGGAATAATTTTTTCAAATGTTTATTGAAATTAATAATATTAATTTATATTTCATCTTAAATGTACACAAATACTTAATCTTATTTGTGCGGTTAAATAGTTAATAATTTTGATCTGACCAGTGTCAGAGGATAATACCTATTTATAAAGAAATATCCTGTATGAGGCACGGGCCATTTCTGTTTAGTCATTAAGTAACATTATCCGAGAAAAAGATGCAAATAAATTGCGACTACACTGTAAGCCATCGACTAATCGCGCAATTTTCTCCCGCTGAACTAATCGGCGGCCGAACATCCGAGTTTTTCTCACAAAGCCGTGAAGCCGATTCGTTCAGTAGACTCACGTAACACGATCCGCTCATCGGCGCGGACCGGCACGTCAATTACACCTCCATCAAGAGGATAGCATCCGTGGAAAATAAGAATGAAACTTTGTAGCTAATTACGACGTGGGCGTGACTCGATGTACAATGCAACATAATGACGCGAGAGATCACCTTAATTGGGCGATGAGATGCGACGTTACGCATCGGCGACGAGTGTGTTTCTGCAGCTTATAACAGAAGGAAAATTACTCCAACTATCATAATGACATCGAGAATAACGGAATGATATAAAAAAGCGACAGAAATGTTAATGACAGAGTATCGTGTCATGCGATGCCACCATCCTCCGTGAGATTCACAGTCGTTTCGCAGTGACATTGTACACGCGAGAGAATCACCCTGATAAATTCAAGTTCGAAGAAACGTCTCTTCAAATAACTCACCTGTGCACTTTAACTTGATGCGCTGCTCGTCCGCGCCTTGGTAACAATCGGCGCGATGGTCACAGAGCTTCGAAAGCTCGAGCAGCTGCAGGACGTCTGTCGACTCGTTGACCTGGCAGCCGAAATAGCCATCCTCGAGGTTCAGGAAGAATACTTCTCGCCTCAATCCATGGCCGAGTCCGTTACGAGATTCGGCCTGAAAACATTAATAAATTTTATTTTTTAGATATTCATGTAATTATTCTTTAAAACCGCTTTCTAATATTTTACCGCTACTATATTCTGTGGTACTTTACAGTTTCAAACTCTCTTAAAATTTTTTTTTATAAA